CGCGCGCGCGCCTGTCTCTTCTCACGGTGGGGGCTATGGCCCCGTCTCACGAGGCGGTTAGTCCCCCTCCAAAACGCTCGCCCCCCCTTCTCCTCGGGGGGGGGGGGAAACTGTGTCTCCTCAAGGCAACCGAGCAACTCTGACCCCTCTGGGGGTGCCCTCAGCTGAACTCCCGCCCTCACCTGGGAGCGAGCCGCCTCCCCAGCCGGCATCCTGAGGGGGAGGGGGTCTAGCCACCCCGCTGCGGTGCTGCTGAAAGGAGCCCGGACTCCGCTGCGCCAGCGCGCTCGGGCCACTGTTTGTAATAAATTACTCCCCTCCGTCCGCAGCTGTTGTGCCGTGCCCCCCCTCGAGCCACGCCCCCTCCCGATAGCCACGCCCATTCAGAGGCCCCGAACCCTCCCCTTGCCATTCCTTCTTCAGCCGCCTTGCAGCGCTCGAACAGGGGCGGAGCTAGGGAAACGTGCGGGACAAGTGGGCGGGGCCAAAACCAAGGGAATATGTGATGGAATGGGGGGAGAACCAGGAGGGGGCAGAAGGAGAAGTAGGGGGCAGAAGAGGGAAGGGGTAGGGGAGATGGAGGGTATAGAAGAGGGAGCAGGGGAGATGAAGGGGGTGCAGGGGCAGAATGGGGAGGGAGCAGGGGAAATGGAGGGGGCAAAGGGGGAGCAGTAGGGATGCAGGGGCACAGAACAGGGAGGAAGGGGAAGGGGGAGAGCAGGGGGGAGCAGATGCAGAGTGGAATGTTTTTTTTAATTGTAAATACACTGAATAATTGGGGATGGGGGCAATGGAAACAGACCTGAGACCATTAAAGTGCTAAGGAATTATCTAATTGCTCCTTTTTGGCCAGATTCCCAGAGATGCTGAGCAGCTACAGGTCTTGTTGACTTCAACGGGTGCTGCTCAGCACCTCTGAAAAATCAGACCAATTGTCTTTAATGTTGCTATGAATGGGGACCATTAACACCATTTGAGTTGTTTCCTTTGTGCTACCAAGTAACTCCATTTTGAAGGAGCTGTGTAAGGATGGGATTACTTGCTTTTATATTTCTCTTAAACAGCTAAGAAATCAAGGGCAAATTAGTTTTCATTCTTTTATGTGTTTTGTCATTCAGGAAGATAGATAGCTATCTTCCTGAATAACAAAACATATAAAGGAACTATTATTCTAGAATACTGTAAGGCTTTATATATATTATGCACACACAATATTCTAGACTAATAGTCCACAATAGCAGTATTATAACGGCACATTGTTTTGGACTATTACTATGGTATATTTCAATGGAAGTTAGCAAATGTAAATAACATACATGTGAGTATTTTTCATTAGTTTCCTGTTGTGATCATTCTGGGAAAACAGCTAGAGTTATTTTTTCTGTCTTGCTAGTACTCCAGTTGACCACTAGCTACTGCAGAGTAGTTTACATAAATAAAAGTTTAGAACAGATTCACATTTTCCACAATAGAGAAACACACATACATAAAAAACGCAGCAGATAGACAATGTGTTGCCAGTCATAGCAACTTAGGAAAATTAGTGAAAAATTACTGAAAGAGGATTTTGGAACATACTTAGTGGAAAGAAATGGTAACACTTAGAGAGAGAGAGGAAGGGAGAACATGAGCTTATTCCACACTCTTGCAACATGTTGTGATGGTTGCTCACATATTTGCTCAGTTGCTGAAGTTGGTGGGTTGTTATGTTTCTTTAAAAAGATTTTAGCATGTATGCCAAAGTGGAATGAACTCAGCAAAGTAGCAAGTAATGGGGAGTTAAAATAATATTTTTAAGTGTCTCAGCTCCAACTAAGTGGTTTAGATGCTATAATTAAATAGAATGCATAATACTGTTAGCAAAGAAGTTAGCTGTCTCAGCTAGACCCTGAAGTTAACACCTTATTGAAGTGAATGGTGTGAGGGAGAGGTGAGTTGCCAGTTGTGTTGCTTTTCTTGTTTTCCTGGAGACAGTTTAAGAGACTTGAGTTGCAGCTCATTGAAATCAGTCCCACACTTCAGTGGGCTTTGGATCAGACCCATGATACTAATAGGGCCTGTCTGCATCATTTTAAATTAAATCAATTTTAAAATTATTCTGGTTTAAACAGAGGAAATCCCTAATGTAGAGGCACTTAAACTGATGTGTTAGCTAACAGTTTTTAAACCACAATTTGTTTTCCTAGTCTAAACTGGGCCCCAATATTCAACTGGAAATGAAAGTTGACAGTTGTGCAAATTAAACGGACATAGGATCAAGCAAAACCCTTTTTCAAAGTTGTATATCGCTGTCTCACCTACCCGGATTTTTACCTCATACGTGGCTCTGAGCAAAGGGAATGGTGGTCCCTGGCAAACAGAGAGCTATACTACTGAATGGTCCTTAACCATACTTTCCTTACTTGTGTTCTATATTCCATTAGCCACTAGCTGGGGGTGACCTCTAGTGTAGCCAAGGCAATAACTTGATAACAAGGGCTAACTTTAAACGTTTATTTATATTCATATAGCCTGGCCCTGTAAACTGATCAGATAGGTGGACCCCATGTGCCCACATGGAGCCCCTTGAAGTCAAAATATCCCCATGTCTATCTATTTACAGGATTAGGCCCTTTGGGTTGTTAATTCAGGGTTTTGTTTATGTGTTTTTTTGCAACGTTAGGCTTCATATTGACTTTGTGAGGAGTCTCACTGAAAGTTCTGTGTGGGTGCAGTGGTTGACCCATACAGACTTAATTGCAGGATCAGCATGTTAGGGTTTTTTTTAACTCTGTTATTTATTTTGTGATGTGCCTGAGGTAGGTGTTTGTGCATCTTTGTAGAATTTTGTAGCATGTTGCTTGTACTTCAAAATGGCAGTAGCATGGCAAAGCATTAAGTGGCATACTGTAGCCTTAAGCTGTGTGTGTGTGACATGTCAGTGCTGCCAACTCCAAATGTTTTAGAGCTTTTTAGCATTCATATTTGCAAGTTTCAGGAAAACACCATATATCATGAGACACAATAAAATTGCGAAAGTTGGCAACATTGCTTGCACTAGAGGCATATGAACACGTGTTGGATTTTTTCTTTTTCTTTAAGCCTTAACTCTTTTGGGATGAAATCTTGCCTTATTGAAGTGAAGGGGGGTGTTGCCATTGACTTCACTGGGATCATGATTTCTCCTATAGTGACTGTAAATATGACTTAAGAAGAAATATAGAAGCTGCATATATTTGTGTTCATTATGATATGTGATAATTGGGAAAAAGATTGTGTTATTGCCGTGCAACGTTTGTTTCTACATAAATTTCAGACCTGGGCTCTATGCATAACTTGTTGATATGAGTTGTCCTCTGTAAATGAATACCACTACTCACATGAGTTGTGCAGTTGTATATATGTGTTTGTAGGATTGGGGCCTAACGATTTTGAATACCACCGTGGACCATATTCAGCTGTCCAGTAAAGCAGATGCACTTCCTGTTGATGTCAAAAGAACCAGAGGCTGAAGAAACAAATGTTGCTACATGTGTGGAAGAGCACCACAAAATGAAAATGTACGGTCAATTTATGCCCTTGAGATATGAAGTCAATGTAAATACAAATAAGTGCCAAATCAGTGGATTTGGGTCAATGTATCTTCTGGCACAGCTTGGCCTGGTTTTTATTTGGTTTGTTTTGGTTTGGATTTTTTTTGAGACTGGCTAAACTGTAGCATTCTAATCAATATTATAAATAGAAATAAATGTAGGTCAGAGAGATCAGGTCATCAGCATATAGTGATGAGTAAGAAAACAGAAAGATTGTTTCAAGAAAATCAAGAAGCCCAGAACAAGTTAACACTTGTTTTGTTAAATGTATCATATAATATTACATTAGAAGTCTGAAATGAAAATATTATTTGTTTTTACAGATTAGCCACTATGGCCTCTGTGATTTTTATTCATGGCGCTGGAAATGTTTGATATGAGGCAAGGGGCTACTTGTGAAAATCTTATTTTCTTCCCTTCCTTTTGCCTTATGTTGACGATATTTGCTGTCTTTCTGCAATCACTGCAACCATTTATGTGTTATGTATGAAGTGAAAACTTCAGTCTAGTGCACAGGGAAGACTGATAGGACAATCTTTGTAGTGTCATGCTATTTGTTGATACATAGGCTCACAACATTCAGCTTAGTCAGAAACTAGAAAAACTGCAGCAAACCAGAAGAGTTATAATCCCCTTCCTACCAACAGAGAAATAAAATAATGTTGTTTTCCCTCCCTCAATCTTCCATTTCCCATCCCTATAAAAATTATTTATATTTATTTAAAAAAATGCATTTCAACACTTTTTAAAGCTTTTGGTAAAGAGCTGGGTGTGTGCATCAAAGGGAAAACCCTGTCCGAGAGACACTTGACATCAGAGGTTCTCGAGCAACAGGAAGCCTTTACCCAAACTTAAGTCCATCTCAGGTTAATTGAATTATCCAGTCTGTATCTTAGAGTAGGAAACCTGCCTGATCACTCTTTTGGATGGGAACTCCCTTACTTTAGATTCATATTTAGGCAGCTGTACCATCTTGTGGCTGAGAAAGCGGAATGGATTTAGGAGATCTGAGTTTAGTCCCAACTCTGCCACCAGGGCCGGCTGCAGGCACCAGTGAAGGAAGCAGGTGCCTGGGGCGGCCAATAGAAAGGGGCAGCACTCTGTCCGTTATTGGGGCTGCACGTCCGGGTCTGCGGCGGCATTTCGGCGGGAGGGCCTTCAGTCCCTCTCTTCCTCTTCGGCGGCACTTCCGCGGCAACTCAATCACTCCGCCTCAGTCTTCGGCGGCACTTTGGCGGCAGCTCGATCAGGTTTTTCTCTTTTCTCTCTTTCTTTTTTTTTTTTCCGCCACTTGGGGCGGCAAAAAAGCTGGAGCTGACCCTGGCTGCCACAGACTTCCTGTATAACATTGGACATGTCTTGTTAGTGTTGCCAGTTCTTACAATGTTAATGTGAGTCTCACACAATTTGGTGGTTTTCTTAAAGCCCCTGCTCTTGGAGGCAAGTGGTGAGAATCTCAGCTTTCATTTTTTAAAAAAGCGTATTGTTTCTAGCTCTCATGGGTGTGGAGAAAAGCTTGAAGACATGACCAATATGTAATTTAAAGGCTCAAACATCAGAAGGAAATAAAAAATAAGACATGTATTTTTTAAAAACATCTCATGATTTTAGGGGCCTGATTCATGTTTTTGATCACTTGGGGTTGGCAAGACTGCTCTTAATCTCTGTGCACCAGTTTCCCATTTGTAAAATTGGATAATAATACTTCCCTACCTCCCAGGGGTATTGAAATTTACTCATGTTTGTGAGGTGTTCAGATAGATACTATGATGATTATATAATTACATAGACTCTTGTGATTAAGGCTTTTGCAATGTTTTATGTACTTGTTTTTTTACCTCTCTCTTATATAAATTACTTTTTTATTTCAGCAAGGAGTAAAAGAAAAGCCAATCATGTGTCAGCTGACTTTTATGTTTTTGCCTCACACAGTAGTATGTTTACAGGAAATGCCTGCTACAGAGACAGTTTTGTAGCTAGACGTAGTGTCAGATTTGACTAACATGCTCACATGATTAGGTTTACTAAGTGAAGATACAGATGACACAGTGATGAGAGACTTGCAAGCAATCAGGTTTTTGCAACATCAATTAATCCAAGAAGCGATTTTATGCTGTACCTCCTTACTGATCGGTAACCATGCATGAGGTTACACGTCCCCTCCCCCACCAAGAATGTGCCTCCCTGCTGCATTAGTAACTATCTCTTCAACGCATATTCAGTTACCAGTCTCCCTCTATAATCAGCAGCAGCTTTTTTTTTGCATTCTAGTAGACTAAAAGGACTGCAGTCGTTCAAAATGCACTTTGTAGGTATTTTAATACTTGTCCAGAATGTGTAGGTTCAGTTACATTGTGTAGTGAATTTAACATGAATCATCTTATTTTTATCATGCAAAATAAACGTTAGTTTGTTTCTTTCAGTGAAATACACATGCTGTGAATGAAAATGCATAATTTCAAGTACAGGCAGGTATGTTTATAATACCTTTTCTGTATATTTGAAGCTTTACATTTGTCTTTGATTTTTTTTTCTGGTTAAGCATGAACTTTATTTAACAGATTTGAAATATTCAGTGTCCTCTAACTTCCTTGTTTACTTATCACAATGTACAAGACCTATGATATAGCAAATGCAAGCAAAGGTTTGCTAAACATGTTTACTTTGCGATGGTTACAAGCTATCATATTTCTTAAAATATTTGCTATTCTAGCAAACTCAAGCTTTTGACCACCCACCTATCCCCCAAAGCTTTCTTTCTGCAATGGCAGCACTCCACTGTGTCTGCATATGTTCTGTTTTCTGCTGAGTTGTGTTTTTAAACTGTAAGATATTTGGGGCCAGGAGTCTGTTATTTATTCATCACAGAGTACCTGTGCAATTAATACAAATAAATTGGTAAAATGTAAATTATGCAAAAAAGGCTGCCTGAGGAAATATGCTAAATGGAGATTATAAAACCACAGCTATTGCCCAGAATGCATTCAGCTATCAGTACCCGAGACACTGATAACTTTTGTTATTGGTCAGATTCCAATTTTTCTTTTCTAGTATCACATGGCCTTTACTCTGGATATCAAGAGTCAGATCTGGGAACAAACTATTAATCCCGGCTCTTCCTTTTTGTCTGATTAGTTTGGGGTTTACAATCCTCTTTGTTTATAAAATCCTTTCTTTTGTCTGTAGAAAAGCAAGAACATAAACATGTTTACAATTACATACCTCCATTTCTTTAAAAAAAAATGTAATATTAAGGCCCAATTTCTGAAAACACATGCTTAACTATGGGACTACTCACATGCGTAAAGGTAAGCACATGTGTAAGTAGTTATGGGATCAGGGCCTAACACGTTACTGGTTTCATGGGCCTGTACATTGAAGTTCTTTATTTGTCTGCAGAACAGAGAAAGCACAGTGCAGATTTCTTCATGACATCCCACCAATATATGTGTAACATTCATAACAAAAGTAGAAGTGAAAAAGTCCATACCAAAATTCCAGATCTGAACAACCCTGAATAATGGGGAGGTTTGCATCTGGATCCACATCTGAATTTTGCAGCTCATATCATTCTCTAAGTGAAATATAAAACTACTTAAAATCAGTTCTTTTTTCCTCTCTTATTATGTACTGGAAAATGGATTTGTTTCCATCAAAAAGAACTGTTGAGTTAAACTTGTGGAAATTTGCTTTGTTTGCATAAAGAGACTCTTTTTGTGGTCAAAATTTCATTTACATCTACAAGAATATGTACAACATAAAAGAAGAAATGATGGAAATAGTCACACAAAATTTCACAAAACTCCCCAGTTCTGGAAGAACCACCTCTGAAAATGGAAAAAAAGTGCTGTAGTTATATTTCATGGTACATTCACTCTACATTCGAAGGCTGAAAATGCCAAAAAAAGCAACAATTACTGCTAATTCTGATTGTATTTTTGTGATATGGGCTGAGATCTTTAGGAACTGGACCAAGGACACCAATTAAAACAAGCAACAAATATATATCTACTTTAAAATAGCAATAAGGGAGAGACTTAAGATTATGTAAAAAGAAGAACAGGAGTACTTGTGGCACCTTAGAGACTAACAAATTTATTAGAGCATAAGCTTTCGTGGACTACAGCCCACTTTGTTAAATTTGTTAGTCTCTAAGGTGCCACAAGTACTCCTGTTCTTCTTTTTGCGGATACAGACTAACACGGCTGTTACTCTGAAACCTTAAGATTATGTGTGCATATTAATTTAGAGTTAAGAAAGTATTCATTTTGTAAAGGTTCTTTAGGTGTAAGATTACACAAGGCTATATGAGATGCAATCCCTAGAGTTAGACTCAATGTGGTGAGGTTTTTAGTTTTACTCTAGAAAAATATTTACCTTAGAAGCTGCCCTCTTGCTCAATTGAAATGCCACTGCAGTATTTATTGATAGGATTCTAGGTCAAAGAGGATGGGATGCAAGAGGCACTTTTACCAAAAAAACCCAAAATAATAATAACTTTCACAATATAAAAAAATTAATCATCTGTCTTTCATAAACTAGAAGTGGCTATCGTGTTAATTTGTAAACTGCTCTGAGATCCCACAGAATGAAAGATATTATATAAATGTAAGATGGTATTGCTCAATCCTGAAGAGGCATTACAATTCTCATAAGCCCTCAACATTCTTTCTCCCTGTAGTCTCATAGCAGAAAGAATTCCCTGGGCTCTATCTTTAATTATTATTTTTTTCTTCTTACAGTCGCTGCTGTCCCTTCATCAGCACCTCTGTCTCAGATCTCCAATGCAGCAAAATTCCTGGTGCTTCTGAACATTTTGAATGCCTTGCAGTTGGTATGACAAAAATGTGCATTTGAAAGGATATAAAGAGATGAGTGACTGTTTAAAATGGGGCATTAGCATGACAGTTGACAAAGCCTTGGTATATTGTTGGATCCCACTGGTTTCTAATGCTTGTTAATGAGAACAAGTATTCCTTGATCAGAGTCAGAGATAGTTGCCTCAAATATTCTTCACATAGACATTGGATGTATTTCACATTTTGAAAACATTGTATATATGTTCATATACCTTTTGCTTCAGAACATTTTTGGTTGTTTTCTTTGGTGATTGACTAGTGACCTGAACCTTTTCCTGTACTTTTGTTGTGTTTACTTGATTTTTCCCACCTTCCCTGTAGTTGCAGTAATAATGCTCTGGCATGCATGTGCAATCCTGTACAGCCGGAGATCTCCAATAAAGAGCCTGACCTTGAGCAGTGCTGAGCATCGGCAATGCCATTTAGGTCAAATTACTTTATTTGGGCTCTGACCTCACTTAGCTGCTCCGGGAAGCTCTCAGCAACGTGAAAGATTAGGTTCAGTCTCTTGGCCGAAATTGCCGATTTTAGCCATAATCCCTGACAAAATCTCACTGATATGGGCCCAAATCTCCCACACAATTGTACAGAGTTGAGGCAAAATCTGCACAGATGTTGTCAGTGGTCCCAGCTGATTTCTGTTACCCCAGATCATATGCAGATACTTATGAGAGAAAGATAGCACAGGAAAATCTTGCCAAATTACAGTAAGTGTAGCATAATACTAGGTCCTGTTTACACAATAGCTAGGTCTTTGCTAGTATTTGTCTTCAAACTTCTCACCCTTACACTACCACTGGCAGAAGACAACCAGTAGTGTCAACAGTAGGAGCTCTAGTATAGACAAACAGTAGGAACAATAGTGTAGATTGGCTGCTGGCATTAAAACTCTAGAGGCCACCAGAAACTTGTCTACACTTATCTGTTCTCACTATTGCTATCAGCAGTGGCGTCCGCATGAGAACAAGGCTGGGAAATTTGCAGGGAAACGTTAGTGTAAACATGGTTGCAGTGGTGCCAGCAAGAAGCTGTATACATATATGCATGGACCAGATTTTCAGCTTTTGCAAATCAGCGCAGTGCCATTGACTTCAGTGGAGCTACACTAATTTATAGCAGCTGTGAGTCTAACTCAGGGTTCTAACATGCTTAGAGAGATTTTTTTTTTCTCATGAACATAAACCTGTGTCTGTTGTCAGGAGCCCCAATCCTGCAATGTTGGGCAGACTCCCATTGCATGGAGCCCGGACTACGCGCAACTGCAGAGATCCTCCCACGGGGAGTTCATTCCGGGACTGAGGCTTAGCATGATTCAACAAGGGTGATCTCCATTCACGTAAATAATGCTTCAGGATTGGGCCCTTAGGGTTTTGCTGCAAATATGGCAAGTATATTGAATAGGACTACATTCCGCCCTCAGCCTACTCATGTTAGGCTGTTTTTCAGAACAATCTATGGGCAAAATTTGCCTTCATTTAGCCTTTTCTGTTAAATAAACATATTTTAAATGGACACCCATGTCAAGTATTGTCCCAGATTTAGGTTTTTCTTAAGATAAGTTTTGGAGAAAACCTACCAACATTGGAAATATTTCCATGATTTCAAAAAAAAGGAAGGAGAAAGAAAGAAATGTTTTCTAACAAGACCTTGAGGTGTTACACTAATACATGAGAGCCACAAAATTGAAATTTATCCTAGGGATTATATATTTTTGACTATATACAAAGATGAAGGTAACACATTTTCCTGTCTAACTGGTGATAAATGAAAATAAATAAATAAACAGCATGTACGGTGAGTGAGATAATATATTTTATTGAACCAACTTATGAAGATCTTGTCTGAACATTCTTGTCTGAAGAGCTCTGTGTAAGCTTGTCTCTCTCACCAACAGAAGTTGGTGCAATAAAAGATATCACCGCACCCACCTTGTCTCTTTAATATCCTAGGAACAACACTGCATACAGTATATATGGAGAAAAATACATTTAAAATGCAAACCTATTTCAGTTTATTCATCTAAAATATTGTTAGTCATAGCTTACCTTGAGATTTTAAATGTTTCTAAATGGGATTTTTTTTAGCCTACAAATGTTCCTTTGAGGTTTTGACATCAAATTTATCCCTCCACTATCATAGTCATTGGCACCATCAATCCAAACTGGATCATGGTATATGCATAAGAGGTCTAATCAGGTGCCTGATGAATCTGCTTATGGTTGACAATTCAAGAGTGACAAGCGTGTTACAAATTATACAGCTCCATGTGTTATCTGAGTTAGAGTCCAAGATTACAGAACACTGCTTTCTTCTTTCTCACTTTGCTTCCATCCTCTGGAACAAAGCCACTTCATGTTGAGCTACACCCACTGCCACTTATTCACTCCAAATTGGATGGGATTCTGTGCACGCCTCACAGCTTTCTATATTGATGTTGAATGACTTCATATCATTTTTACATGTCGTAGTACTGCCATAAAGGGCAACCCTGCTTTCTAGAGCCATCCTGAATCTCGCTGTACAAAATATTCTTGGGGATAGACGTCTCCTCCCATTCTCCTGACATGAACGAGCCATCGCAACCTCCTCTTCTTGATAGCGGTTTCTAAGTGTGTCAGTCTTGTGCGCTCCAGCACTCTGTGTTTGGTATTTTGTCTTCTCACTTTATTTTCAGAATCTTACACAGCTATTTCATGTAGAAGCTGTTCAATCTGCTAATGTGGCAATGATATGTAGTCATTGTTTCTGAATCATAAAGCAGGGATGACAGAACACGTCTCGTAGATTCACATCTTAACCTTTGTCTATAGTTTGCTGTTACTCCATGCCCGGTTCTGTAATAACCTAACATTCTTAGCTGCTTTTCCAATTCTATTAGTCAGTTCAGTCTGAAGGTTAAGATTCCTGCTGATCGTATAACCCAAGTAGCAAAAGCTGTCAACAACACCAAGAGATTTACCCTCCAGAGTGACATCGGGCACTGGTTTTTCCACTCCTTGGTACATGATCATAGTCTTCTTGAAAGTAATTGTAAATCTGAATCTCTTGCATGATGTAGAAAATCTACCCAAGAGATTTTGCAGGGAAGATTCATGATGGGCAATCAAGGCCACACCATCTGCAAACAGGAAACTTCTCATAACCGGCTCTTTCCCCTTGGCTTTCGCTCTAAACCTTGCGATGTTGAACACGCCTCCATCTAGTCTGGTTTGAAGATAAATGCCTTAATTTCTGTCCTTAAATGCATGAAGAAGCAGGAATGAAAGGTAGATGTCAAAGAGCCCGGGGGCTAAGACACACCCAATTTTGCCCCATTGTTAATGTCAAAAGCATTTGGTTCTATATTTTCATACACTACAGTTGCCCTCATACCTTGATGTAAGGAACGAATGATGTTCAACAGTTTGCGGGGGGACAACCCAATTTCTTCAGAACAATAAAAAGGCCCTCTCTGTTGACCATGTTGAAGGCCTTTGTCAGATCGATGCAGGCTATGTACAGTGGCATTCATTTTTCCTCTACACGTCTCTTGCAGTTGCTTAACTGAAAATATTATATAAATGGTGGAGCGTCCTGAGAGAAAACTGCATTGACTTTCAGGACAGAATTAGTTATAATGTAAAAGTCAGTCAGTATTATATTCACACAGTTCTGGTGGCTGTGTCTGTATCTAGGAAGGCAAGTCATTTATAAAAATGTCCAATTCAAAGGCACCAAAGTTGGATTATATATAATACCTGGAAAGTACTTGTGCATGCATACTTACAGGGGGAAAAAATAAAAAGCATAGTTTGTCAACTGTGTAATGCAACAACTATTGGTATTGTTGGAAAGCAGATCTGGCCCATCGTTCTGCTAATATCAGACTTTAGTGACAATGTCCTTGACTAACAGATGCAGCTATATCTTTATCAAGGGCTTCTGGTGACATTATAAGCCATGAGAGTGAAAAAATGCTTCCTGCTTCAGACTTCCTGCTTCTTCCGCAGGAGCAGCACAGCAAAGTTTGTCACAGGCATTATACCATTTTCATATTGTATGGTAAATTTAAACCCTTTGAAGCTGCACCACAGAAGACTAGAAAAGCTGGTAAGTTGATAATATACAGGGACATTGAATAGTGTTATGTATGTACATCAGGGGTCGGCAACGTTCGGCATGCGGCTCGCCAGGGTAAGCACCCTGGTGGGCCGGACCAGTTTTATTTACCTGCTGAACCGGCAGGTTCAGCCGATTGTGGCCCCCACTGGCCGCGGTTCACCGTCCCGGGCCAATGGGGGCGGCGAGAAGCCGTGGCCAGCACATCACTCGCCTGCGCCGCTTCTCGCCACCCCCATTGGCCCGGGACAGTGAACTGCGGCCAGTGAGGCTGAGATCGGCCGAACCTGCCGGGTCAGCAGGTAAATAAAGCTGGCCCAGCCCACCAGGGTGCTTGCCCTGGCGATCCGCGTGCCGAACGTTGCCGACGTACATTTACATAACGTCACTGACAAATATTGAAAATTAACAGTAAATGTGACTGTTTTATTAAGTGTGAGAAACAAAGTAATATGTTCAAAAGTGGGAGATATCAAAACTCACGCATTGGACATGCAAGCCCAGACTTTCAAGCAAAGCTGGGAATGCAATTGAGTATTCCAGATGTATGTATACATGGGCAACTCCTTTGTCCATGTAACTCTCACAGTTGTGCATGGAAACCAGGTAATTGTACATGGAAATAACTAATTGGGTATATTTGCATGCACCATTACCTGTTCTGTACTTATGGTAATCTCGCATGCAAATCAGTGTACACCCAAACAACTAACTACGAAAATGTGGTCCTTTCTCTCCTTCATTTTGTGCCTGCACCATCTCCAAAAAGATCTAAGGTTCTATATCCTACTATTAACCCCTATACAGAACTTCCCTTTGAAGTAAGGAGATCATATAATTTTCAGACTCCCTTTGCTATGCCAGTTTTCCATGACCCCATTCTCTTTTCATGCTGCCCTTAGGGAGCACAGCTTCTCTGCAGTCCTCCTCTGTCCACTCCTACCCAGTTCTGTTGCTTTTGGAGTTTTTATAGACTTCCTTTCCACACCCTCAGTGCCTCCAGTTTGCTACTATTTGGGCCTATTTGCACCTATGCAAAAGGAAGAGAGGAAGCACGCTGTTTTTCTCTGGTTATGTATTGAGGGTAATTTTTTATCACAAGCTACAGTAAATACACTTTATTTGTATGTAGGAGTGTGTGTGTGTACACAGAATATGGGATACATGAGCATTTAATGATTGTCAATAACCATTTTATGGTGGTCTCAATTCCCATAGCCCCAACAAAATACTGGCAATAAAGAACTGCCATGTGCAGTTCTCCAGCTGTCACCGCTAAGCTCCTCATCTCCCCTCCAGAGTACAGCCTTCCTTTGGGGTTTTTTATGTGTGTGTGTGTGTGTGTGTGTGTTCTTTTCTTTCTTTCTTTCTTTTCTTTTTTTTTATTGCTTTAGAAAGAAAACTACTATTTGTTAAAATTAAAAACAAAGAGAGAGAGAGAGAGAATCTTAGAAAGGAAAGTCACAAATCCCAACTGTCCTGCAGACATGTGCTCTTTTCAACACAGGAAACATGCAAAGGTTCACAGAGAGTGGCACTGGTTGGATTGCTCTGAGAAAATTAGGTTAAACCACATGCTAGTAGCGAAGGAATTGCTTCAGTAAATATATTTGAATATAATAATAATAAATGGCTATGTAAAATCCATGTTCATGTACTAGTCTCAAGATACACCTACCCCAGATAGCTACACCTCAAGATACACCTACACCTACCCTAGATAGCTATCACTTAGTTTCATAAATATTTTCCTTGAATAAATTTCCTTATGAGGAAGGAAAACTTCTCTGAACTGACCTAGCCTTTGTGGATTTGGAAATCTTTCAAGGGACTAAACAGAGTTTTGTGTGTGCGTGCATAACTAAACAAGATTTGAACAGTAGGACAATAGTGACAAGTATACTTGGTTAATATTCTAGACCTATGTATTGTTTATTATTATTATTATTATTATCTCCTAGGAGTCCTAGTCATAACCCTGGACTCCATTGTGGTGGACACTGTACACACAGAGACAAAAAGTGTTGGATTTAAGAACAGGCCGAAAGGTAAGTGAGTTTTGTGGGGCCTTTTAGCTTTATGCAGGAGTGGCCCATTTATAGAGCCACAATTCAATTAGTGTGGGGTAAACCTTAACTAAGATACCACACCATTTAGTTAAAATTTGTGGACAACTGTAACAACAATAGAAGCACTTGTGCCTAGAGTTCAAAGGGCTTTACAAAAGGAAGGCAAGTATTTCTATCCCTGTTTTACACATGGGGAATCTAAGGCCTGGAGAGATGTGTGGCTTGAACAAGGTCTCTCATCAAATCAGTGGCAGAGCCAGTAAACCGAGCATAGAAACCCACTGAAGCACACTGCATAATCCTTGCACATTTATAACCTTCTAAGGAACCCAAGCCTCATGTCAGTTAAGCCACAGGAAGAATAGCATTTGGAGCAGCAGCACAATGGGATCATCCCTACATAAGGAAGCAAGTACTAAATAGTTTGGGGTCAGGGACATATGCATCATTTCCCCTTTACGTAGTGCAGTTTACCTAGACGATATAGTGTATCTTTTCTGCACTTCTGTGTGCAGGTATCTCCTTTTTAAGGGGCAGGGTAATATGGCTCCAATTACATTGAACTTCCAGGGAGTAGCATTACCAGGGGCCAGAAATGTTAGAGGCACAGAATCTCACTGGTCTTCTGCCGAGCCCCTGTGACCACACAGATCCATGGGATCTGTTGGCTTTAGGGGAGGGTCCCCTGGCCTTGGGGCAAACCCCGTAATCCCCAAGCAACAATCAGGCTGCAGGAGGAACCAAGCAGAGATTTCCTTCCCAGGAATGTCACCAACCCTGAGCTTCACTGCCTCTGCTTGACTGCTCTAGGCTAGCACAGAGCAGGGGATGATTCAGCTCATTCCTCTGTTTAATCCTGCAAAATGTTCCCAGTATACCAGGAAGTGCAGAGTAAGCCATTTCTTACCTGAGGGTAATCAGGGTGTAATCAAGAATTTGGCCCACTGCTCTGGCAATAGCAAAATAATTCAATTTTAAAAATAGGGTACAAAAGATGATAATATTTTAGATGGAAAATTGAGGAAGATTTAACCCACTGGGGAATTTCTCTCTTTTTGGAAGGAAAATCCATTAAAAAATGTCACCCCCCCCCATTTAACAAAAAAAAAAAAAAGTCCTTAGATTCTTCATTGAATTTGCAGAGACCAGCAATTTAAAAGACAAACAATCTGTACAAT